ACAGTATCAGATAGAATCCGAGGTATTATTGAGTCACCTTTCCACAGCATTCCCAGCACCTGTCGTTTCTTTAAAGACTAGTACGACCAGGAAGGCTGTAAACGCAGCGCTTCAAATGAAGCAAAAGGCAGCGCAAAGCGCTAGAATGCGTGGTCGTTAGACTGCGCAATCCTACACATACTACGGCTATGCATGGCCCTGCACCACACACAACACCCACCTGTACAACATTCGCAGTGAACGAAACAACCAGAGAGTTACTCAGCCGCTGGTCCTCTGCCTTTCGAGCCGACCCCTCTCGCCAGCAACAACTCCGTTTGCGCGTTGACTGGTTTCTGTTCGTCTTGCCCCTGTGCCACCGTCCTGTCTTTTCTGGGCCGCGCAATGTGTCTCCGTCCTTCTCTAGAATCAGCCAGCCCATCATTCTTACTGTGAGTAAACGGGATTTCGTGCTCACTTCAGCCACCAGTGGGCATTCTTCGCTTCCTTAGCGTTTAAATTCCCTTTTGTCGCTCAACAACTATTCGTTCCTTTCCACCTGCTGCTACTCCTACTGCTGGCAAAATGGTTCTATGTACTTACGTATTTGAAACGTGGTAACGGGCTATTCGGCCCACTGCACAGGAAGAACTAGACCGAAGGACGGGGGCAACGGACTGACGAAATAGGGAGAGGAGACGGGGGCGGGCCACGGCACCAACGAATGCAACGGATTGATCGCTGATTGTGGGAATCGGCTGGCTGGTGTAGGTTGGACTTCCGCAGTTGTGTCCCTATATCTACTGGGTTTAGTGCTGGAGGAGGAAGGAAGCGTAGTGACGGTTAAACGAAAGCCATTTGGTCTTGCTCCTGATATGCTTCTTCTGCTTCTTTTCTGTGGGCTGACTGCTACGATGGCATACGAGGCGTTACGAGCATGATGCTGCAACTTACTTTGCAACAGTGAGAATACAAATGCTACACTCGTAATTCAATACGCAGTGGTATATTATAGGGTAAAGTATCAAGGTGTCATTAAAACACTCATCCGGCAAGCTGGCCTCGGGTGCTGCTGAGGGCAAACACCGGGTGGATAGTCAAATGTTCAGCTGTCAACTTAACCGGTCAGGCCTGTATTTTACAGGCAGCCTCCAGATGCAGTGAATGGGGGGCTGACGACTCTGACGTAGACTGGATCGAATCATATCAGCCTGCAGGCACGAGTGACTACAGAAAGAAAAAAGAGGAAGATTTGAAGGATGTTGGCAGATCAACTGCATGGCGAACCAACTGTACCAGATGTGTGGGGGACTAGGGTAAAGTTGTGCAGTGGACTCGGAGCTCACCGCAGGAAAAGTGCTCTTTCGCTTGCACTCTTCTTTCCTGTTTCGTTTCTTCCATGAGCCCACATTGAGAAGAACGCGGCCTCGATCAATGCGGCAAAGCAGACTGGAAGAGCTAAGCGGGAATGGCGAACTGCTAGAAAATCGATGGGTCGGGCGGCGTTGTCAGTGGTTGTCCACTTCAATCCAGTCGATAAACTCAAAGGGGCAACTGGGCTAACTGGAGACTTATTGCCTCCTGGAATCAGATCTGCAAATCATATGAGACTTACAAATGAATGGGCGATAGAGTGTGGGTCTGGCTATGCAGTGAGAGTATTGACTATTGCTAGCTCGACATCGATACTCGAGAAGGAAATGGAGCCGAGCGAATGGAACGAGCCAATACTAACGTGCTTTCAAGCATGGCGAAATACAGCTTAGCGTAACACACAGGTTGTGCATTGCACTGCTTGTGTGTACAAATTAAAGGTGCCTGAAGGCATTTTAAGGGTACGTAGTCAATGCAGTTCCGAGGCGCTGGGGCCTGATAGGCAATTACCCTTACAGTTTTGTATGGTGTACTGGTACACAATTGACTACACCCGTACAACTCCTTAGTAGCAAGCTGCCGTCTGCTCAATGCACGACTGACTAGCCAAACAATAATATTTAAATAAATAGGTTGATTTATTTCCAAATATTTGGTATAAGTGACGTACATAATAATATGTAGAAAAACGAAACAGGCCAATTGATCTGATAGTATAAGGTGATTCGTCAGATCTAGGAAGTTTACAAGTACGCGTGGTTGAAAGATAGAAGTCGCCTGTAAAGCCGAATGTCAGCAAACGTAAATCTAATACATTGTCAAATGATAACACCAATATCAATAACTTTGACGGAAGTTCCTCTATACTATACGGTTTTAGTCGTAAAGTACACCTTCGTTCAAATCATAAATGCGCAACTAGTCCAACAGACACAATGTCGCTCTCTATAATTCAGCCAGCAGCTTGTAGAGGTTGTTTTGTTCGAGTTCGTTTCTTGTCTCCCTAAATCGCCAACTTGTTTGGTGTCTCTGGACATCATTTCTCGTTCGCAACTGACTCCGAGGAAAACATGATGGAAATGTAAACCGCTCTAACGGTGATAACAAACTGGCCTTAGTAGCAGCCACATCAGCAGTTATCGAAGTGACTAGTTCATAGTCGCAATATAAGTAGTAACTTCGTTAGGAAAACGATCAAAGATTGGTCTTCGTCGATATTCGTTTATCGATCCTTCGATTCGCTTTTGATGACGGATAGAGAGAGAGAGCGTGGGAAGAAATAACCAACTAGGTTAGTCAAAAACAGCAGTTTTCCCAACGACTTGGCTATGACGGCCTATTCGAAAGTAACATAGAAAAAAAAAGAGAAAAAGACGCACAAAGAGAAAGATATAATGCAAAGCAAGCTTTAGCAGGCGGCTGACTGGTAAAATTACGTTTTGATTTTGAACGGGCGGCAAGCGAACATTGTGGATGTGAGCATGGGTTTGTCTGTTGTGTGCGTCTGTATATGGCCATCTATACACTTGTGTGTAAACGTTCACGAATGCAAGAACTATCCTGCCATCTTGTTCCCAACGGGACGCCGAGAATCTCATCATGAGAATGACTTTCGGGTTCATCCCACATGTGGACAACCAACCAGTGAATAGAGGATGTAAGAAGCAAGGCTACGATAGATGCGTCTTGCTTCTCCAAGGCAGGCCGAGCGACGATAACTTCGGCCTAAGGCAACGACAGGAAAATATCTGAATAGACTCTCACCCTGTAGCTTGTCCATGCCAGTTAGGAAAGCCGTGCAGATTGGCTTTCGTTTGCGTTTGCCGCTGCTAGCTTCGCTCCGCCTTACCTTTTCCCGAGTGGATCGGTAGGTCCGCGTGTATTGCAGCGCACCGCAACTATTGTATGAACGAACGATTTCGCTAGTCGCTCAAAGACGAGTGGGGACGCTTGGCCGGACTCGGCTTGGCAAAAAAATGGGGCCAGACAAGTGGAGCGCGGCTAGGGAAGACCCCATTGGTATTAGGTAACAGGGTAAGGGAACGTAGAATGTAGGAAGAAGAGTTAACAGAGCAGCAGTGGTAGCGACGGTAAAGGTGGACGGCCTGCTGTTACAACTCTTTTTTGCCCTCGGCACCTTTCCAGCTCAGCATTTTCCTACCAGTAACGGCCGTTTTTTGTACGAGACAAAGCCAACGTGACTGACCATTGCGCTTTGTAGACTTTCAGCTGGGCTTATTTCCTGTCAATTCGATAGTAAACTCTTACACGGGTTTCAGCGAAAGGTACAGCTTTGCAGAAATATTACATGAACCCGTATAGCACTAGTTGAAGTAGGAGTGGCAGAAATGCTGGCAGAACACGAACGAAAGGGAGGAACTGTTCTTGTACTGTATGGTTTCCAGACGGGTGAAATCACGAACGGTGGAACGAGGTCCGGCCACGCTTTAAGGGAACAGCTTCAGTTGTTCAGAAAACACCCAGCCACCATTCAGCAGCGGTGACCACAACAACAATGACGTTTATCGAGTTGCCGGTTTTCCTCAGTGAGGGGGCCCACACGACCGCAGCGGCTTCGAGAACGGCGACGTACCACGAAAGAGGAGAAGAACGAAAAGGAACAATGTTATTGACGCACTCGCTTCCAGGCCGTACGATCCGCGCTGACGCCGTTTTTCGGTTGCGTTATTGCCGGCAAGGACGACGTCGGCGACGGCCAGAGCTAAGGATTGATCCGACGTCGTTCAATGTCATTCCCTTGAAGCACATATCTCTTTCATCTGTCGTTTTCATCATCGAAGGCGATGGCGCCGCTGTCGATGTTATTCCCGAAATTCGCGTTCCCTGCTATGGTACCACTTACCGACTAATGCGAAACGCGGTCATATTTCATACGTACGTACGAAACAGAAAAATAGAGAAACACACAGAGATACCAAACGGAGCTAAAGTCGTCGTACCATTAATCGGTTATTTTATGTTGAATAGGCGCATTTAGACGGGCCCAGTTCTGTCCTAAGAGGGACCAAGGAGGTGGGTGGCGAGAAAGTGGAAGAAGGTTCACCAAAAAGGAGCAGCCCGTGCTGGCTAGCTATGGTTCGTCTTTACTCGTCGACGTTCCCCGTCATTTTTTTCTTTCATCCGCCCTTTTTCGTTCCCTTTCCATCGCTTTCTTTTCTTGTCATTTTCTGTGTGTCGCAGCGCTCGTCGCCGACGCACCTTCTATGACGTAACGGCGAACGGTCTGCTATAGCCACAACCTTCTTGCTTGTCACCGCGTTGCAGTAGATGTCGGTACTGATGCCGTTGGCGTCGCCGCCATCGTTGTCGCACGTGACGCGCATTCCAAAAAAACGCTGTCGATGGAAGAAGCGAGTGCAACCCTAAAAGCCGACACCTGGACGCTGCTGAAGGTGGTGTTCCCGGTGGCTGTGCTGCGGAAACCGTTCACGCTGTTACTAGCCAAGGGAATTGGCAAAGAAAGTCCGACAACATCGCTTGCCACGTAAAAGGCAAATAGGGACATCAGAAACACAACAGATAATAAATAAATGTGACATATACACAGATATAGAACATTTAAAACTTTGCAAAACTCTGTCTGCTTTATTTTGGCGATCGGTAGTGTTCGGCCGGAACTACAAAACCCATTCGAACTACAATAACGTTGCGTCGGCCAGGGGCGTTCGTAAGGAAATACTCGGTGCGGGCGCTGCCCTTTGACTGTTACATTTGTATACTTTATACGTTGCTCACTACGGACGGTAGTAATAAACGTATCGCTTATTGGCTATTTGAGAATATCTCATCGCTGATCACATGTTACTATGGCATTTTATTATCAGCAATGCAAGTGACAGCTAATGCTCGTATATCGTGTTTATTTTTATATTTCTATTATGCAACTTATAGCATCCACTGCTGTCTATGGAACATGGTCAAAGTAAACACAATCACAACTGGTCCGCCATTTGGAGGACTGCTAGTAAATCTGCGTTTTCAAATGACTGTTCCGCGTAGCGGTCAGAAGAATTTCTCTGTCAGAAGAACTGTACGTTCGCAAAATATGCAGAGTCCTCGAGGCGACATGTACATATGGCATTTCGAGCGAACAAAGCGAAGCTGTCGCCAGGCGGCGCAGGCCACATAAAAAACGGGCTGAATCAGAGTAAGCGGTCTGCCTGTAACACACATAGTACTCAGAATATACAAAGGGTGACTCGGTGAATACAGTACAGGGAGGTTATCACTTGTTCCAGCAAAAATGCTTTATGCTCTACGGCGGTTCGTGCGTGTGCAAAATAATCATGCGGAGGCTGATGGAGGCAATGCCGTATTACCGCACGATGCAGGTGCGATTGAACCGTATCCGGAGAGAGTTACAAAGTCAGCACCTTGTCTCCGCCGTCTGTAGCCAATAGAAAGGGGCTGTTGCAGACGTGGGACCGGAAGGCCGCGCTTGTCCTGCAATCCAAATCGATTATCGAATCAACATTTTTCCGAACCTAATTGTGAATGAAGTACGTGATCGGATGAGGGAGAATGAAAGAAGAGAGTACAACGGTACCTTAAGTCATACACGGGCATAGTAGGAATTATGATTGAGCGAGGTTGACTTGATGATTGTTGACCAACATCACCCGGGGGTGGAGTGTAATCGATGCTGACACAACCGTTATATAGCGTTGATTTTGAAACTGAGCGAAACGACGTCTGTAACAATAGATAACAATAGTTATAAACGCTATAGGACCGTTTTGTAAAAACGTTGTTAATTCAACGTTTTGTTGTATCTTTATGGCACTCAAAATTCTATTTTAAGCCAAACTAGCGACGGCTCACAATGATGAAATATGGTAAAAATCAATGCCGAATAGATCATATAAAAACAGAGGTTGTAATCAGGATAACTGCATTAACAAGGCATTAGATCTAAACGGGTAGACATTTCTAGACGCTGTCGATTCTTAGTTTTTAGAAGCTTGGCCGTAATTACTATAATAACAAAAGCAGTAATGTATTGTTATATCTGTACGTGTGTAAAGTTCGAAGCAACAATGGGTCATATGCGCCCAGCCCTCGGCAGACGAATGAGCCATTGCGACTGCAGCTCTGATCACGGACAAATATACGATGACATTCGTTGTTGACCGGACATCGTCCATGGCTCGTTTAGCTCCTGAGTACATTGCTTTATTCGACGAAATAAAGAAATTAAACACTGCCTTGTTTAGACATGGCAAATCTCCTGCCTGCAAAATACCTATCACGTATCTTCGTATCTAAAAATGAAGAACCAGTAGCAGGGCTAATGATCCAGCAGTTTTCCCATTTAATACAAGTCACAAGTCAGTGCTCCGACCACCTTCGCCGCACCGCTAACGACCTTTGGGCAAACAAATCTGACTGATTTATTTTGTGAAGAATACATGAAGACGTGTCCATATCGCCTTGGATGAGGTGTTCTCTGGCGTGCGCAGTGTATGTCTCTGATCAGCCTGTTTCTACCTAAGATACTTCGTTAATCACCTTAAATCGTACTCTAACTACTGAGATAAATCTACCTGGCGAGGAGCTATTAGATAATCGATTCTTTTTGCAATCTCTAATAATAAGCTTTGTTCTCTTTTGTGCAAATTGAATTCGGCCTGGGTTTCCATTACTAACATTATTCTAGCATTAATATGGACTATTGTGTATCTCTCAGCAAGCTTCGACTACTGCAAGTTCGAGTACTTCAGCAATTTTGGTATTTTTTTTTTGTGCATTGTTGCAACAACAATACCTTCGCCATTTAGAATAGGAAACGATGACTCTATTTACTGTAATGTTAGCTGTGTAAGGAACAAGCTTAGAGTAGCAACCATAAGAATACCATGATCCTATAATCATAGCAATAATAATAACAGCCACCAAATAATTCTTGCAAATTGTTTCTATTGTTAGCTTTTCATCCAACCGCAGGTCTTAACAACACATAGTCACGTTGAAGGACCAGTAACCCATTCACTGACCCATCCCCACCCAACCACAGCCCTCTCAAACCGCTTAAGCCGCTGCGAAGCGGCTCCTTTCGATAGCTAACTTCCCGAAGTCCGCAGTCCGTTACTGTCATCCTCCGTTGTAGACTAGGTAGACTCTCGTTGTATTTGTTAGGCTTTCTTAAGAACTCGTCCTAATCAGCGGGGCTGGCACAACCCACCGTCTTTGCCCCCGCAGCTGTAATAGTTGTTGTTGTTGTTGTTGCTGCTGCTGCTTGTGTTCCGATAGCCATTCTCCTGCTCTTCCTAGTCAATTATTGCACGCCGACCCAGCTATCCAACCTACTCTAACATAACAAACAATCCGCATACAAAGATAGATTGAACGGTGAAGAACTTGGCTCATGTGTTCTTGTGGTACTTAGCTCGCCTGAATAACGTCGCTACCAGCCGTGCCACAGTGAGGTCATCCAGGCCTGCTCCCCAGAGCTTATGGCTCGTCAGTAACGAACATACCAGAACCAAATGAAATCAAATATGTCTGTACGGGTGACTGATCAGTCGGTAAATTCAAATTTGGAAGTCGTTACTTAAGCTTTGGCGCGCTAATAACACTGGACGATTAATGTAATAATATAAATGCACAGGCACGTATAGTCATATCGTGTAAAAATCATCTTGCTATGTTACGTGATTAATCATCCGATAATGCCTCGATGCACCGTCATCCGTGACCTTGAAGTTATAACGTAGATACGTATTGGGTACTACTTGCTTAAGTATTACGAGCAGCGGAATCCTCCACCGTACCCGATTTCTGTCTTCTATTTAGCGGTATTATAATTGGTTTTTTTTATAATTATGAAAGCTGCTTTCTTTCGAATTCAAGTTAAATTCGTTTTTTTATCGCGTTATTCTTAAACCTGGTGTCGTTAAGTGCGCATTCGGTTTCTTTCGTAAGCCAACATGATCCACGACTCATTGATTTAAGAGAGCAGTAGAACAAAAAGTCGGCTTTCTCTTTTTGCAGGAGCCATCCCCCAGTTGATACTAGTGATAAATACGCCAATCACGCTAAATCGCGCACGATCTCAGCTGTTTCGCCTTGTTTCCAGCGTGTACGTATTCAGCTCAGCGTGCATTCGATATAACGACATGAGAAAGAAAACAGCACAACGGTTCGGAAGGCACCGTTGTCTACGTAAAACTGTTCTGCATATCTGTTCTATGTATATACTGATGACTTGTGTATTTATCAGCGCCTTCGTCTGCTTTCAAGTAGCACCGCACCGAAGACGTCCGTAATTAAGAAACCGTCTCGCCCTGCTGCAGGCGGCAGAAACTGCTTTTCGTCTGTTTCGTTTACTCTTTTTCTCTCTTTCTCCCTGTTATTATACAGCTGACTGCTGCTGCCGCCGCTGCCGCCGCCGCAGAGTGTTGGAACACCAGAAAAGGAAGACGGTGGTAATGGGCAAGGAGTTTCGAACGGGAAGAGTCAAGCATGCTTATATATTATTATATATTACGCTTATATGTATTTCAATAACATGAGTACACATGCGTACTGGGCAAAGCCATAAAAAGCAGGGTCGTGACCAAATACGAATCTGGGTCCGCTACGGGTGGTCGGCTGATTGCGAGTTGAACAACAACGAGAAAAAACATCGCGGACGACGACGACGACGAAGCACTTACCGTGACGGGAACGAGAGACGCCAGCAAGCGGCACAATAATAAGTCTGCGTCCGCTGCTGTTGTGGCTACATAAGAAGCGCTTAAATGCCAAGAGAAAAACAGAGAAGAAATAGTTTTTTCTGTTTCGGCTTGAACGAGATCTTTGAGCGAAGGGTCTGTGGTACTTTTGTCTGCCAGTCATCTCTGTTTAGTTAGCTGGCTCAGCCATCCCAGTTCTGAGTCGAGCGGCGCGTAGCTCTCGCGGTCCCGCGCGTGCCAGGCCACAACGACCACAACAACAAACCGGCTCTTGACTGCACTAACGGCCGCGGAATTGGGGGTTGCAGCTGTAGTCCGAGCAGTTAATTTAATTCCGAGCTCATACAACTCTTCTCCGCAAGCTAGCCAGCCAGCCAGCCAGCCAGCCGGCCAGCTTGTCAATGCAGTTACGACGTTGCAGCGACTCATGGAGCTGAATATGAAGGAAAAGACGTTGCAGTTGTGGTCCTATGTATGATTACAACGCAGTTAGCCAAACCCGAAGGCCGACAAGTCGGGAGAACTATCATTTAAACAACAACGAGTTAAAGCAGCAAGTTACCGCTGCGCTTCGTGTTTTCGAGATAATAATAGCTGCAGCTGAACTGTAGTCTGTGTTGCAGTAGCAGTAACCCGGGTTGTCCGTTTGTGGCTAGTCAGTTCGACCCGGCATAACGCCTTATTCACGAACGTGTTGATGTCGTTTCGCTGCGGCCACGCGAACAGCTCATAGCTACGGTCGGAAGTCGATGATAAACGTCACTTCCGCTGGTTCAAATGATTCGCCTTTGCGTTCCTCGTTTAAGTCTGTAGTTAGTGCGATTGGGTTTGCAACAGTCTAGCTATATGTGTCACAAGTCTCAAGCCATTGGCGCGGGTAAAAGAGGAGCCGTAAACAAGAGAGGAGCATGTGGAACAGCTTTACGGCGAAGAAAATCCGTAAGTACTGGTTACTATGGGTGTCTAAACGGAGGCAACCAACAGAGGTTAGCAACAAATGCAATCTTCTTTAGATCTTCCTCTCTATCTACTCAATTTTCCTTTTGCTGAGCCCCCACTTTTCTCCAGCTCTGGCGTCGACGAATGTTTGAAGCATTAAGGACCGTTAGATAATGGGGGACCGAGATACGATTAGGGCGCAAAGCCAGTTTCGTTTCACAGCCGATCTCTTTTTGGTCCCCGATTTCGTCCCAGTGGGTTGCGTTAATCGGATGGCAGGAATGCCGACGTCTAGCGGCGTCAGGCCATCTGGGGCCCACTGTTTGTCTAGCCCTGATCCTGAAGCGTCCTTAGATTTTGCACTTGCTTATGTTTCCAGAGGACGCATCCTCCTGTTACTGTTGGCAGGAATAATACGGCAAGAGGCTGCAAATAGTCGGATTTCGACTTTTGCAAAGCTTGGTCGCGGAATACCCACATAGATTTGTACGTGGATCTTATTCAAATGTCTCCTTTCCTAGTCCGTGTAACCGACGTGTATAGTAATATTGCAGGAACTGAACCCTGCATTGTATCTATCTAATACTATCAGCTATATTTATTAACAGTACGAAACAGTAAAAAATTAACAGTACGAGTAGCGACAACCGAAGTAGTTATAACAGCCTTTTCGTTTCGTCTTACGCATGCCGGGTAGTCGAAGTAGCTAAGCAAAGTGGTATGCCAATGAAATAAAAAAAAAAGTAGGAGAGAGTGCGCTGAACACATCTGGAAACAGGTTAGCTTATTGCTTCCGGCAGGGCCAATAATAACAAACTTATAGCAGAATGAATCGCTGAATGGGTAGGCAAACAGACAACGTTTCAATGGCTTGAATATTGTTTGTCATGTTGCGCTTGATTGATTGATTGATTGGTTGGTTGGTTGGTTGATGAACAAGGCGCCATACGCTTCCAACGACACTTAACTGATTAGCGCATTGTTTGCAAGCCTCTGAAGAGAAATATGCGCTTATCAATTATTGGCCCAAACTACAGGCTCTCGCTGCATGGCTGTTGACGCTGTTTTTACCGCTTGACC